GCCGTGATCATCGAGAGCGATCTCGTCGCCTGCTGTATGGCGAGCAGGAGGAGACGAGCGTCTTCGCTCAATTCTGTGCGCGATAGCAAGTCACTGTAACCTTGTAGCTGATGCAAGGGCGTCCGAATTTCATGACTGGCGCTGGCTATAAACTCGCTCCGCACGGCCGCAGCTGCTTCCGCATTTTCCTTTTGAGCTATAGCAGCCCAGAGCTTTCTTCGAGTGTGCACGATTTCAGCCAGTTTATTCCGAGCCACCGTTGCGGAGTGCGCGAGCAGTCCGTTTGCGAGCAAGCACGTGAGAATGGCAATACTGGTAACGGCGACGGCTAGGTCTGGAGGGTATCCACGTTCTGCAGTCGGAGTGGCGTATGTCCAGAAGGTAGTCGCCCACATCCCCGTGAAATGCATGGCGGCAACTCCTGCTGCCGCTACCATAGAGAAAATGAGCTGCTGCAATAGATTGACCTCAATTTGGGGCATCAGGATACATCCCAAGGTGCAGACTAGCCAACTGCTCGACCCTGAGACGAGGACGATAAGTGGGTGTAGCGTAACGTGCCCTTGTGGAACCTCCAAGGCAAATATACCGACGTAATGCATGCTTGTAATGGCCAAGCTCCATATAAAGCCCTTGCAAAAGTTCCTCATAGTCGCTCCATGGTACAGCAGTTCACCAATCCCGAGGAGGACATTAGTTGTGGTGGTGGAACTCTTCGTGAATTTGAAGCTCATGAAGCCAGGAAGACCGAGGCTGCTGCCGTCCGAATGATTTGTCGTAGAGGACCGCCGAGAACGCTCCCCTTCTTCCGAGCTCCTCTGGTAACTTTCAGTGTCGCGAGTAGTAGAATCGTCCTCCAAAGGAGACTCATTTTGGGCAGCAAAGGCTTGTTGGTCAACTCTGATCGACTGTTGCAGAGGGTGAGGGGAGGGAGAGGATTCGATGGTGTCGTTGGTAGCAGGCGCGCCGCCAGTGAAATGATCTTCCAAGAGCCCTAGGGTCATACTGGCACTGCTGTCATGACTGGGGGGAATGCGGTCAGCGGGCTCAATAGCATGCTCTGACACAACAGCCTGCGCATCTTCTGCTTCGCCAGAGATCCGTGTTCCTAGGAGAGCTTCTGAACTTTCATTGACACCCTGTCTTGCTGCCTCCTTTTTTCTTTCTCGTCTGAGGGCCCTCATCTTCCTCTTCTTGACAAGGCGCAGATAGCGGTCACGCATCAGGTCTGAAGCCAGGGCCAGGAAAGTGAATATGACCGCCAGGCCCGCACTCAGAACCGTTAGGGGAACATTCAAGCCGATCGGAAGCGGTAGCTCGCAGGCCAACATTGCGATGAAGTGGAGGCACCAGATGGAACAGAAGCCGAAGGTCAAACTTCCTAGTATGGTCCAAACCAAAACGCCAGAGAAGTATCGTGAAGTCCGTGCTTGACACATCATCTGAGTAGAGGTAAAGGCACCCAAGAGGGACACTGCAATAGACGCCGCAATGAGACCTCCATTCCAATGGACCTCGAGTCGGCTGAGCGCCGGCTCTTGCTGTAGCTGAACCATGTCCTGATGTTGTCGAGGCTGCTCGAGGTGGACGTCATAGGTTGGGGACTCTTATTCGAGCGCGCCATACACTCTTCTCTAAGCCCAACATAATGTCACCGATTCCCATGCACTCGTGTATAGTCCTTTTGACCTTTTTTTTTGGAGACGATGTCAGGTTGACGTGTGTGCCTTCGTATCGCGAAATACTGGAAAGGGGGAAAAGGGTGCGGATCAGTTCGAGGTCGGTTTGAGGGCGGTGATCGGCGAGAGGATCGGACCCTGAATACAGAAAGATACCCAGCCAGCTAGGCACTCCAAGGAATGGCGATAATGATAAATGTCCCGGTGTCGATGGTAGCCCGGGAAGATCGGAGCAGTGGAACAAAAGGCAGCATGGACAGGTGAGATAGATTACCCAAAGAAGGGATTCAGGGAAAAGAGCGGATGCAAAAATCATGCGAGGCGAGTATCCGGCCGAGCGCTATGGACATTTGCCGACAGCGTCACTGCACATCAAACACCTGGCGCACTGGTCGTGGGAAGCTTGTTAATAACCAGAGAGACCAGATTAGGAAATGATGGAGTGCCTTTAGTGGCCAGGAAGCCCGTTCCCGTGGAGCCTGTTTAACTAGGATGCCCTTACCAGGACTCGGTACTACGAGTACGGGACCCAATACGAGGTGCAGAGGCTGAGAGGCGCACGAGGAAAGAACTCGGCTCCGTAGCTCACCCCCCTGAATAATGAACTGTGGGGTTTTAGCGTGCACGCTTCTCCCTCTACTCTGCTTATGTACAAGCCCTGCGAGGAGCACGAGGATGTAACCTAGCAGGCCGCCCTCCCGGAACCATATATAGGGCTTAGTAGTCTGGCTGTTCATCTCGTAACACAACCAACAATAAAACATGATGCCATGCTGAATGAAGCATACTCTGACATCTATTTGCCCTAGGTCTTGACTCTTGACAGATCAGACAGGCACTCAGTCCTCTTTAACAAGTGCCCCGGACGCACAGCGCTCCCTCAACTGACACGAAGTGACTGCCTTGGCTTCGAGTTTGTCGCACCTGACTGGTCTATTTTATTTGTGTCCATCTTGAACAGCAACATCTTTGTATTCTGGGCACATATGTTGTGATGGTCATTATGGCTCGAGGTGGAGGTAATCAGTAGGAAGGGATTCCGAGACTGGGCGGGCTCAGGGTACAGTACGTGGTTAGGGTCTTTGGGTGCTATTGTTATTTTGGGTATCAGGCCGTGGCAGGGTACGGCGAGCAGGAGACGCTCGACAGGTAAGTGTGCCCCTCTAAAAAGAAGGTCTCCCGAGCTGCGGGGCACTCTTTAGGTGCTCTTGGTAGTCCTCCGGCTTCCAACGTCGCCAATGCCCCTCGCTCTCTAGGCGCCCAACCGTGGCCTTGTCCAACCAATCACATGGCTTCCTCTTTGCAACACCAAGATCGACCAAGCATGTCCTTCCTGGTGAGATGGAGAAGGCGCCTGATGAATGGTCCCAAGGCAATCATGGCGGCTAACTTCTCACCTCCCGTAGTTCTACGCTGGTCGTGTTCTTTATATAAACACAATATTGGCATCTCAGAGTTGCCACACCATCGATCAAAGGCCCTCGAGCATCGAAAGAATTATCCTCCCGTTTAATTGACCTCTTAAGAGTTACTGCGCAAAGTTGAGCTTCACGTCCTGTTGTTCACTGTCCGATTCCGAGTTGTTTGCTGTGGTCTTGATTTCACTGAGCTTCTTTTGCCTCTTGTCCTTCCCCTGCGATCATTGCAATCATGGCCTATCCTCCTCCTGGGTCAGGACAGCCGCAAGGAGGCTATTATCCTCGTATGGTTCCTTCACCGTGCTCCGAGCCTGAAGAATAACTAACCAGCCATCAGCACCGCCGTCCAATGGCCAGCGTACGACTTCGAAAAATATCTGCCCCTTGAGTTGTTCCCGAAGCTGACCTCGTTTAGCATCATTCCCTCCTCCGCCTAGCCAACAATCCCCACCTCCTAGTTTCTTCCCACCGCCTCCATCAGGGCCATCGCCGCCTGCGCAGAATGCTTCATATCCTCCCCCACCCACTTCCCATTTAGCAGCGCAGACCCCTTCCCCTCCTCCCCTCCAGCAACCTACCGCTCAACGACCATTTAACTATGCTACTGTTCCTGCTTCGGCACCAGCCCACAAAACCACCTTCGACCACGCCTCAATCCACAACCGGCAACCCTCGTACAATGGCCCGACGAGCTCTTTCGACGAAACTGACGAGAAGGTCACATCCCCACGCCTGCAAAAACTTACCAAGGATATGGCAAATGTCATGAAAGCCCCTGAGGGCCCTTCGCTGGTTGGAGTACCTCAAGGAGGCCAATTCGTGGGGGTTCAAGCTACAACGCAGGACGATGTGGGGACATTCAATGGTGGCTCATACCGCATTTCGCATCGAGACTCGAATTCAATATTGACAATACAGTTGGCCATGGGGTGTCCTATTACGGCAAAACCCGGAGTGATGATCGCAATGAGCCCTTCAGTCATGTTAAAAGGCAACATCAAATTCAGCATGAAGAAGCTGTTGATTGGTGGAGAAATGGCACATTCAACATTCACGGGTCCCGGGGAGGTGTTGCTTGCGCCAAACACAATGGGCGACATCTCGATCCTGCGACTTGCAGGGAATGAAACGTGGAGCCTTGGGCGCGACTCGTTCCTCGCCTGTACCCAAGGCGTGTTGAAAGAGTATAAGAGTCAGTCAATCAGTAAAGCTATGTTCTCCGGCGAAGGTCTATTCGTCTATAAGATGTCGGGCATTGGCATACTGTGGATGTCCACTTTTGGAGCGATCTTGAGGAAAGATGTGAGTCTTAAACAACCCCCCGGCGACCCCAACACGAGAAATCTAATTCCACCTACCCCATCTGTCCTCTCATTTTATTCAACCTCTGAGCTATCCCCTGGGAAGTTGGCATTGAATTCTAACAGCAATCAAACATTAGCTCGTGGATGGCGAAAAATACATTATCGACAACGGCCATCTTGTCGCCTGGAATTGCAAGTACGTCCTCGAGCGCGTCGCCTCCGGAGGTATCATTTCCGGAATCAGCTCGGGCGAAGGTTTGGTATGTAAGTTCACGGGGCCTGGCACGGTCTTCATGCAGACACGAAACGCCGCCGCCTTTTCGGCATTTATCAGTGGGAATGCACACCGGGAGGTATGAAAAGGGGAAGCGATGACCATTTCTAATAATAGTAGTGATCCTACGTTGTCTTCATGAGCGTTACGCCTGTAATCTCTGTGTTGCTCCATAGTATCAAAGTTCGTTTTCCATTTTCGGGCCTGCTCATGCCTATTTTCACATGGGGTCGTATCTTTTCGCCAACGCCATGCCAGTCTCTCCGTGGCGGAGACAGCTGAATCCACCTCCTCCCTCCCGAGCCGGCCTCGTAAAATTCCAGGCTTATCCATTGAGCCTCTTTCTCTTGCCCACTTGAGCCGTGAAACCGCTCTTGATAGCCGTGACCGACCGCCTACTGCCACATGACTTACACGTGACAAAGTACAGCCGGTTCTCGCCCTTGCTCAGCTCGGTGTTGGGGGATCGGCAGGTCTTGCAGGTCACGTATTCGACGATATACCGTCTCAGGACGTTCTCGATCTGTTTCTGTTGGAATCTGCCCTTGATGACCAGTCTCTTGGACCCGTCGACGGAGCCGCTCGTGCCGAGTTCGGCGAACAGGAATTGGGTGACGTGCTCGTCGTTTCGGTTCATCCTCTTGCAGATCTCGGCGATGTTGGCGAAGATGGTCTTCTTGTTCCCTTCCCTTAGACATTGAGGGGGTGGGATCTTGTATGATTTGCTTCCAGAGGACAGGATGTCCGGGTTATGTTCGTTGACGAGATAGAAGAATCTCTTGAGGAGGAGCTCGTACGAGATCGGGGAGGTTGCGTCGTGAGCCCAAATTCCGGTTCCCTGGGTCATATCCCCCGATTGTTCCTGTACTGCAGCTTCCTCTTTTTCTTCGTTTGTTGCATCGGCAAGGCCGGCGCGAGCGAGTTTCTCGGCAAAGTCCTCTCCCTCGGTTTTGGGTTTGGTTGTCTTCTTTTTCTTCTTCTTCAGGATGGAGGCGTCAAAGTCGCCGTCGGCGCCGGCACCAGGCGCGGCAGCCTCGCCATCCTCCTTGTCCTCGGTTTTCGTCTTGGTCGATTTCTTCTTTTTCTTGTTTAGACCTGCGAACATGTCTGTCATCTCATCGACGGCTTGGTCATCGGGCGCTGTAGATTGATGAAGTGTCAGTACTGATTTGCTCCCTGATGTCCCGGGAGCGTCCATACGTGATGAGTGTTTCTCTGCTGTGACCTTGTCCTCTGAGCCGGACAGAGGCGCCTCTGAAATCTCGCCATTTTCATCCATGATGGTGCTGTCGCCGCTGAATGCGACCGATTTGCGAGGTTTTCGGTGAGGAATCGATTGAGGTTGTTCCTGTAAGAGAGGAGATGATGTGTCAGTCATGTCTGAATTCTTCCTGCTTGTGGGGCGAGGTGCAGGAGGTTTCAGATTGGCCTCCCCGACTGAGGAGGCATCTGCGTGCGAGGTGGGGATTTGTGTGGCGATACGCACAACTTCAGCCATGGTTCGTGTTGCCCGAGTTTGTTGCAGATGAGAAGATATTCTGGATGCTGATCTCTCCTTTGTCTGTTCTGTAAATTGAAACAGAAGGTTCAAGAAGATGTGTGGAATCCAATAGTGCTAGCTCGGGGATTTTTCCCTCTCGAATAATATTTAATACGAAACACGACAATGAGTCAAAACCGGGTGAAGGCTTGTAGTATTAGTGACGCATGACACGTGCCACACATTTCCCGTTGTCTGACAAATCTCCCCTGCCTTTGTGATGACGGCAAGTTTTGTCAGACAAAAACAACATCAAGCGGTAGTAGCCTTGCGTGCCTTGCCAACTGCAATTCGTCCATCGATTTCACTGGACTACTGTCGACGCAGGCATTCCAATTCATTGATTCTCCCCGTCTTCTGGTGGACTGCTACTATGATTTCGGTCTAAGCTTCTTTTTTGAGCCCGCCTGTCCTTGGCTGAAGGCGACAAAATTCCAATCCGTGCCCGCCGCCAGCATGTCCGAAACAGACGGTACAGCTGCTTCCTTCATTGAACCTCCCTCGAGCGGCGACGACAACGACGACATCGACTCGTTGCCCTCCGAACCCGATTCCGATGAAGTCACCGTGAGCGAAGAGGAGGAATACTCAGAGTCTGACGCGGAGAGAGAGTGGAAGGAGAGCTTGCAGCAGTTGGAACTGCTCTTGTCCATGGTGATTGTCCCCTATGTCGGAAAATATTTTGGCAGGAAGTTTGCCTACTGGGGTATGTGTGATATGTTTCTGGGCGCAGCATTCTGGGGGTCGCCCCGCGTGTCGCGTAGGCTTTGTTGTGGTCTGGGAAGCTAATCGAGAGAATCACAGGGTGGAAACAACTCATGGAATGGAAATATCCGGTCGAAATCGTCGTGACCAACAAGGCCGCGTTCAAGGGAATTGGCGCCATAGAAGCCGCGGCTTCTCTATAAAGGAAATCCAACAACTTTTAGTGTCTCGAAAAAAAAGCAGGAAAGCAAGCAAAAATCGCCCAAACATCAGTTCTATCAAAAAGGTACAGAACTGAAACTGCACGGCGGCACAGAAAAGAAGAATGCCTCAGTTGCAGCTGGTCTGACCGAGTGTGACACATTGCCTCTGAACTGTGCCAGACAAAGGACTCTCGCTATACAGTCGCAAAAAAAAAACGATGCCAGTCCAGTCAGGCACAACGTGGCCATTGACAAAATCTACATAGAAAAATGCTATGGCGCCAACCAACGCCATTGCTAAGCACACCTGTCGTCCGCGGGTAAACAACGAGGGGTATCACAAGTCATTTCTTTGACCTGAGTTCGTGACTTATAATGCTGATTGCTGACGTCGTTCTTGTCGAAGACGGCTCTGAGAACCAACCTGACGTTCATGTTTCGAGTTCATATTCGGATGTTTCGATACTCGCCCAGAATAGGCATATCGAGGTTTCACTGTTCACGTCCTTCTCCCTTCCCTGCATCTCATCCCGGTCCTCTGTAGTGCTTGCGCCGAGGCAGACACTCAGAACAACGCAATCAGCGTGAACTTTCTGAATCTGCGAACAGCAGGAGTCGCCTTTATCTCGTCAGCGGAACCGCTTGGTGCTGCCGCATCTTCTCCAAATCCGCAGTCTGAGTGTGTGATTGTTTGGCAGACTCAACAGACTCAAAGCGTGGCCTACAGGCCCGCTTGAGAATAGCTAATGCGCCATCTCTCTCGACTCCAACCACTAACCCACGAATTGTGAAGGCGAAGATCTCTAAAGCATCCTCGGTCGTCATTCCCAACCACCTTGCGTACAGCGAGTCTCTTGGTAACCTGATGGGGCCTGGGAAGCCTGGTAGGTAGACAATATTTCTGAAAATAGCCTGGCTTTCAAGGGGATTTGGAAGTTGCACCTGCATATCTGCCACATCGTTCTCTGCTGCCCAAGCTTGGTAGAGCTCGGCAACGCAAATATTGGCAGCTTCTCTTTCACTTTCGGGGTCGGAATTTGTTGCCCACGCAACGTTCGGGAGGATAACTTGAATACGGCGAGCGCGACTCTTGTTTGGGCGTCGGAAGATCCATCGCCATTCCCTCAGGATCAATTGCATCCCCTTTGAATCCCACTGGACGCATCTGTTAGCCTAATACAAAATGATATGGCCTCAAGGATAGGACGTGTACCATGATAAGACCATCTTTTAAGGAGGAGTTGAAGAGGGACTCACAAATGGTAGGAAATCGGGTTGGCGGTGTCTCTCTTCAAAATAGTGGTTCCCACGAAACCATGAACCATCGACCTCATGAAAGACAAGGCCAAGGAGGGGATAACGGTGTCCACGGAATCGGCTGCGACAGACCTCTTGCATGATCCGAGAAAGAACAAGTGCTGCGATAATGTGCGCTGTGATGGCTTCCTGCGCCGCGAGGGCATCCTTGAATTGCAGAAGCAGATCACTGTCTCGAAACCAGTTCACAGAATCATTCACGTCAAGGCACGGATGGAAGTGCACAACCGCCACCAAAGGAATGACACCAGCGTTTGCTCTGCCGAGTCTTGTCCAAAGACTATTGCGATATTCTTGATACATGGTCGTCATGTCTGTATAGTCCCCAGATATGGGACCTATGAGCAGGATGTTCCGGAGAGGAGTGCCGAGCATCAGCTTATCGACAAGATTTCGAAATCGGCGACACACTTGTCTAAGGGATCCAGTGGTGCGTAAAATATCCGGATAGCCTTCCTGGTACAGGTAGATGCAGTTTGTGATGATCCGAGAGAGAATCAGAAGAAGGACCTCGTCAGGCAGCCTGGGAACGGTATCGACCGGACCATTGAAGTGTTCTTGTCTGAGCGCAATCGTTATTGCGCTCAAATCTTCCGTGGTCAGTATGCCGAGTTGCCTGCTCGAGCTGGCCGCCATATTTGGAGGACTGAAGTTGAGCCCGCATGTCTTGGTCATTGTTGGATGTTCTGGAGAAAGTTCGCAGGCAAATATATTTCCTTGTAGGTCCTCAGTTGTCAGAATTGTTCGGCATCACACAATCGGGACCACGGGGAGTCCTCACAGTATATCAGGTCATATTGCTTTTGGCTGGACCATATTTGTAAAGGCATGGTATGATTGATTGTCTCTCTATCTTCTGTGGGAGTCCCGAAGTCACCTATCTAGCTATGTGGTAACTGTGGAATGGCAAGTGCAACAGGGAGGTCACATGCTATGGTTACGTGCCAAAGCAGGTGTCATGGAGAATCCACAACCATATTGCTTCACAATATAGCGCCAGAGAGACCTGTGGATCTGCGTTACTGCTGAACCGAAAACAGAATGGCATCTTCAACACGATGCAGGGGTCGAAACTCTCGAAATGGCTCACCCAAAACCTTGCCGCGGCCATCAAATTTAATTCCCTCACTTCGAAGCAACTCTATTTTCTTACAGGCATGTTTGCCATCCCTGCCCCAGTCACCTTGAAATCCGCCGATACTCCCATCTGCCGCTAAGACGCGGTGGCATGGTACGTCGGGGGCAAAGGGATTGTTGCGCATCCCATTTCCAACCGCTCGGGCCGAGGACTTGAGATACTCTGATATTGCGGCATAGGTGGTGTAGCGACCGCGCGGGACAGAAAGAAGAGTAGTATAGAGCTTCCTTCGATATGAGCTCAGTGAAGGGTGTGAATGGATGCGGATTAGGGTCCGCCTTAGCTCTTCCTCGTTTGCCTCAGCTTGCTTTGGCGATATTCTGTCCCCGTCCACGTGGTTGGGAGTGTTGAGCGACTCTGTCGAGGTCTCAACCCGCCAGGATTTGAGCGTTGATTGGTGTTTCTCGATCTTCCTGCTCTTTGTTGTCGCTGATGAGGCCGGTTGGTCCACGTCGCCTATGGTCCGTTTCATACCAGCATTAGTTGGCCTTGACGGACGTTGGTGTGAGGCTACTTCGCTTGCAGCTGCTTTGGCATACTTCTTTTCATTCTTGCCTCTGCATCGCAGACTCGCCTGGTCCAGGTCGGAAAGATCTACCTTGCCAGCTTGAATTTTCTGCCCCAGTGCTATTGCATCCCGCAACTGTTGCTCGTTCATGTTTCTTATGGCTGGCTTCGGTAGTATCATGTCCCACTGTTGCTCATTGTTGCCTATGACGTTGTCCAGAATGATGCGGGCAAAGCAGTGGTCAAGAGTCACAGGCCACACAGGCTGAGCTGGATCTCGCATTTTCGCCATCTGGGGAAGGGTTTGAGAATACAAGATCCTCCATTCTGTCTGCAGAGCTTCAACATTAGACATGATCTTGGAAATGCAGAGCCCTGCAGAACTCGCCCTGGAGTTGATCCGAGCTGGGGGGAAACAATGCTCCAGCGGCTGTTGAATAAGATAGTCAGGACCTGTCTAGCAACATCTGCGAATGTTGGGTAGAGTCTGAATGTCTCTCAGAAGTGAAGTCCTCACTTTACCCCGTATATGGCAATAGGTTTTGGGTCTAGCCTAGAGTGACTGGTGAGAGACGCAGGAAGAGGCCCGCCCGCGCCCACCGTGGCTTATCGACGTCACGCGTTCTTGGGAGTACCGAGTACGCGACGCGCCTTGGCCAAATAGCATCCGTCAATGTGATTCAAACAACTCAACCAAAAGTCCGACAAGGCCTTTGACATTACCCTGTTTTGGACGCCTCAGTCACAGGCCTTGTCCATTGTATACCATTGAAATGTCTTCAGCAACGAGTTCACCTTCTTCTGCCAACTCGCCCACAAGCGTTACCTCTAATATACTCACTCCAACGCGAAAGGTCCGGAACTTACTTGCCCAGTTTGACGATTCGGATTCTGATACAACTACTCCCACCCGTGGTCAGGTACTCCAGAAAAGTTCCGCTCCGCGTGGTTCTACCGGAGCAGACAAAGAAGAGCTACAACATGTGATAGAAGATTCTGATGATGATGATGACATCTCTGCGCCCCGTCGACCCCCGGCCACACGCGACAGTAAACCCGAACCGACTGCTCGTTCTCAGCACGTCCTTGAGCAAGCTAGCCCTCGAAATGTCTCCCACCTAGATCCCAACCAGCAAGACAGTATTTTCGACGATTCGGAAGAGGATGACATCTTCGCAGCACGGCAGACTTCCAACACCAATACCAACCTACAAAGATCCCCTTCTCCTCTGTTCTTTCCTTCTCCCAAAGAGCAGAAGTCGAAATTTCTTGCCCTCGTCGAGAAGCACAGAAAGCAACGGCTTGAAAAGGAAGCAGAAGAGGCAGCCAGACAAGCAGCTCGCGCTGAAAGCCTGAGCGCCCAGGAAGCAGCACAACGCCGGATCCGAGGATCCAGCCCCGCAGATGACACAGATGAGGAGAGCGATGCCTCCGAGGGAGCTGGAGGGAAGAAGCTGTCCAAGCACGCTCGTCCAACACGAAAAGCTAGCAAGAAGGCCATCGAAGAGATGAAGCGTGAGACACAGAGGCTCAGTCGAAATATGCAACTCGCACATCAAGCGCGGACGAAGAAAAAAATAACCAAGGACAGCTTGTTAGCTCGTTTCAACTATCCGACCGCCAGATCTGCACTCGAGCGAGACAACGAGCACTATCCTACCAGCAGCTCCAGAGCGGCATCGGATAATGAAGTTGACAACGTCCATGAGACACCTCCTACCAGCCCAATCACTGGAGAAGGGGTTGACGCCCAGAAGGAGGCTGGTATTTCAGAAGCAAACAAGGGTAAAGGGAGGGCTCCTTCCATCGAGCCCGTGGAGCAAGAAGTATACTCCGTTCCATTGATAGTCCTTAACGTCGACACCATGGACGAACAACCACTGAAACCTACAGCCAAGCCAATGGACAGGCCAGTTCGATCGGAGCTTCCACTGGCCACAACAACTATATCGGATTGCGACGACTCTGATTCCGATCTCGAAGTCGTTGTGTCACGTGGCGACATGCGCAAATATGCGGCATTCGAGCATTTGCCGGCGCGAAAAGCCAAGGAGGCTCCGTCGCATCTGGCATTGCGTTCGCTCGCAAATCTCATTGGTGACGATGTCAAGCATTCCATGACCGCGGCTGAAATGGATGCGTCGTTACGAAGGGCAGCTCGGATCCAGGCACGACAAGAAAGAGATCAGAGGATTGAAGAATTAAAAGCCAAAGGAGTGATGGTGCAGACAGCAGAGGAGAGAGAGCGGGAACAACAGGAAGTGGAGGATCTTTTGGAGCGAGCGCGACAAGAAGCTGTCGAGATTCAGAAACGCGAAAAGGCTCTTGCTAAGAAGGAGGGTACTTACAACAAGGATAACTTGGACGACGAAGATGAAAGTGACGATGAAGATTTTGCTGAAGACGAGGATGTTGACCTGGATGTGGACTCTGGAGAGGAAGATGGAAGTGATCCAGAACAAGACGGTGACGATGAGGAGGAAGAGGAGGAGATTGAGAATGAGGAAGAACACGAAGAAGCTCTGGGCGATATCTTCGACAATCAAGCTGACGAACAGGATTCCGCGGAATCTTCGTCCTCAGAAGTCGATGCTGTTGACGACAACAAGCATTTGGATGTTGGGGCCGAGGAAGTCGATGCGGATCACAGGCCACGAAGAAGCCGAGCAACCCGCATCGTCAGTGATGACGAGGATGAAGAAGTCGTACCTGCAACGCTGCGATCACCACAGCTTCCTGCGCCTGCAAAGACACCCTCATCCATATCTCGTTCAGCGAGAAAGCAGATCCCTGGCCTGCAAATGTCTGACGATCTTCCAATCGGGTTAACGCAGGCATTTGCTGCGACAATGGCAGATTCGCAGAGTCAGACTCAGGCGAATTCGCAAGAGCAAGACAGTCTCACCATGACCGCGGACCTGCCATCGCCTAACATCGCAATGGTGCCGAAACTGTACCGCTTGGATTCGGTAGACATGATCAGCGACAGTCAGCCAGCTTCTCAGACGCAACCGCTCGATATCAGCCTGTCGTTTCCCGAGTCTCAAATAGTCACACAATCCCCAGCCAATCATTCGGCTCTTCAAGGGCTGGATGTTACTCCTTCACAGGCACATTTCGAACCAACACAGGATGCAGGATACGAATTGAGTCCGTTTCGGGGAAACCGCTTTGCCACCGACACTCCTCTACACCCAGCACCGCACTCGACGCTAGATACGGTCATCTTCCCCAATGATGTGCAAGACAGTCCCATCATGCAGAGAAAGGCCCGGCTCATGCGGGGGCGCGTCAATGTCGATGAGTCGGATGAGGAGTCCACAGAGGTGAGGGATCCATCGGCTTTTGACGTTATGCAAAGGGCAGCCAAAAAGAGGTCTCACGAAGCGTTTGACAAAAACAAATCACGCGCACGAGAGGCGGTTGACGACGCAGCAGAAGAATCCGAAGATGAGTATGCTGGCCTTGGGGGAGCCAGTGATGATGAGGTGAATGAGGAAGAAAACGAAGATGACCGCAAAATGATTGATGAAGATACGGAGGTCGGCGTTGGCGAGGCAGCCAAACTGGCCAAGCTCTTTGCAGATCGTGAACGTCAACAAGACGAAGCAGCTGTTTCCAAGTTGCTGAAGGACATCACGACAGGTGCACTGAGGCGGAAGCGTGGTAACGACGACCTCGACCTCTCGGACGAGGAAGATGCTGTAGTTAGAAGAAGAGAGGCCAAGAGAAGAGAATTCGCCAAAATGCGTCGAGAACTACTGAAGGACGAAGCTGTTGGCAAGATTGCGGAAGATAAGAAGAAGGAAGCTTTCCTACGGAGCATCGAGGATCGGCCCGACAGCGATGGAGAAGATGACTTCCTTCCCATGGAAACGCCTGGTGAGGGTGATTCCCAGGTAAAAGACAGTCAAGAGTCGCAGCAGGACAGTGATGCTAAGGGACGGCCGTCTGATCTCCCAGTGAATGGTGGTGCCCAACCCCTCACGGTTACGCCCGTGTCAAAGTTGAATCAGGCTGGACGATCAAGGGGAAACACGAATCTTCACAACAGAAGGCCGGCCACACTAGCCGAGATTCGAGAATCTGTATCATTCCTGATCGAGGAGCCAGATTCGCAGGCAGGGATCATCGATCTGGGCCTATCAGACTCAGAAGATGAGCCTGAGGTGTACGTGGATCTCGATCGACATGTGCACTCCGCTGACGCAGATGAGAATGCCGATGATGGGGACGATCTTGGTGATTTCATTGTCGATGACGAAGGACATGGCACCGCTGAGGAGACCTTCAAGAAGCCTGCTTTACCTGGCTGTGAAAGTCGAGCTCCATTCTCGGAACGACGGACTAAAGAAAGGACAAATGTTGTCAACCGGCTGAGCATGCTCCGTCAAGCATCGAGCTCCTCCAGTTCTTCGGGCAGTACCAAGATGGCGTTCTTCGGCGCAAGCAGTTCAATCAGTGGCTCCTTCAAGGTTCCCAGCCTCCTGCGGCGTGCAACGACGAACTCGAGCTTAGGAAGCATGGCTGGCCGCGACGAGAATGTGTCTGCCACCGGGGTGGTCACGAGCAAGACTGAGCGAGGCAGGGCCAGTGAAGAGAAGGAGTTTATCAGGAAAGGCACTGGGAGTCGACGGAACGCCGTCAATTACAGACCGACGGTGCGCGAGGAAAAGATGAGCCAGCGAGCGGGTGTTGCAAAGAAGAAGGCGGCCAAGGCCAAAAAGGGGGGGTTCTTGGGAGGCCTTTTCAGTCGAGATAGTTGGGCTTGAAGCCCGGAAGTGATGCTTTGGAGGAAATGATGAGATGAAATTCCTATATCGAGTACCTCGTACCTCGTAGTCACCAATGCTCTGTTCACCCAATTGTACTTCATACCTCGGTCACGATATGGTGGATGCATGACTAATCAAACCCCTGAGAGATTTGCCTACAGGCTCAGCCTTGGAAGGGAGGAATGGATATATCACAAGGTCTTGTCCTGAGCACTCTTGCTTTCTTGAAGGGGTAGATTCTGCAGGATGTTGAAGGTGCAAGCCTCGTACATATGATATAATAGGTTAATGAGATCTCGAGAAGGATTGATTGCGGGTAGCCGAAGATTCAGCCGACACCACCTTTCCAACTGGGTTCTCTCGCATTGTTACTACACATTGCTACCACACTAACGAGGTAGCCAGGTGATGTGTGAGGTAGTCTGTACAAGTCAACTATGTGCATGTATGGGTGAGAGGACGCAAGAATGAGTAAAGTGAATTGGCGAGGTGGTGGGAGTTGTGGTTGCTCGATAGCCGCGGTCGCGACCTCGGTATATTGAAACTTTAGCGAGGCTAACTCGATGGGAAATACTTGACGGTTGACGGACTCGTTCCCTCTGAGAGAGATATGGATGGTGCATTCCCGACCGACCGACCGACCGACCGACCGACCGGGTGTTCATTTCGCAGGGTCACAAATCCCAGTTTCTCATTGACTTTTGCTGTCTCTCTCACTGTTTGGTGATGAGGAACGAAAGATCCGGGGGAAATTGAATAGATAGGGTCAAGACAAGACATTCTCTCTCTTCTTATTTTGACAAACATATACACACAAACACCTCAACTTCGCCTCGCCTCGCCTCTATCATCAATTCTACCCGCCGGTCTTGTGCGCGGAAAGATGCCTCCCAAGATATACTATGCGCCGAGATACTATACATATCCCAACCTTGATCTGTTGTCGATCCTCTTCGGTTCGTGGAATTCCCCATTTCTTTTGTCGAGTTGTTTGCCTGTGATGGATGCACCGCCGACCCCGAACCCCGAGCAATAGTGCTAACAAGAACTCCAACCCGGTCAAAGACCCCAATGACTACGCCGTGGGACAGGAAGATACGAGGGTGCACATCGACGCCGCCAACACGGCAAACTACATCGACAAGGCGCGCGCGCGGGTCCTGACCGAGAACTTTGCCCACAGTTTCCGGCACAAGTACGGCATCGGCGCCAACGGCCACTCCAAGGATGTGGTCGTGGGCTTTTCGTCGCTGCAGATCCTGCTGCCCATCGCCTTTTACGGCACCCTCGCCGCGGGGGGCATCTTCTCGTGCGCGAGCCACTCCTTCACCGCCGCCGAGTTGGCCAGGCAGATCAAGCAGGGCGATGCAAAGCTGGTCGTGTGTAGCCCGGACCTTGTCAAGGTTGCCGTCGAGGCCGCCCAGGCGTGTGGCCTGGGTCTCGACCGTGTACTCGTCTTCGATTCGACCTACCGTGCTTGGGGGTTCAAGTCGGTGGACGGAAAGGTCGACTGCTGGACGGACAAGCGCCTCACGTGGAAGAGGATCACGGATCCGCAAGAACTCGAGGACAGCATCATCGTCTTGCTGTACTCGTCGGGCACGACCGGTGTTCCCAAAGGTAAGGGCCCCCCGGTTTCGCGGCCGGGTTTCACGGCATTTTTCAGGGCTAATTCCTGTCCGTCGCACCAGCTGTGATGCTCTCGCACAAGATGATTGTCACGCAGATCGTCCACGCTTCTCAGACGGCGCGAGAATGGGCCACTCCACGAATCTTGACGGGCGAACTGGTCCCGACACCGCTTCGAACAATTGCCCATCTCCCGGCGGCTCATATCGCTGGTGTGGCAGGGTACTTTGTCAGTCCTGTCTACTCCGGCACCGAGTGCTATTGGATGCACAAGTACGAGTGGAAGAAGTTCCTAGAGTACAACCGACAGCACAAGATCACAGGATTCTTCACCGTGCCCGCCATCTGGGCGCGCATCGCCAAATCTCCCGACGTCACCGACCAGTTTGCCACCTTGAAGAACGGCCTTGGTGGCGCGGCCCCGATGGACGCAGACCTTGCCAACTCGGCTAGTAAGCGGACGAAAATCCAAGTAGGAGGAACTTACGGCATGAGCGAAACCACGGGGTCCGTCTGCACACTTCCTCCGGGAATGACTGATGACACGGGCAGCGTTGGGGTCATGCATGCGAACACCATGTTCAGGCTTGTCGACGACGACGGCAATGACGTCCCCGAGGGCGAACCTGGCGAGCTCTGGGTCAAGGGCCCGATGGTGACAAAGGGCTATTACAAAAACCCCGAATCCACCAAAGCGGCCTTCGTCGACGGCTGGTACTGCAGCGGAGACATCCTGCAGCAACGGAGCAACGGACTGTGGTACGTGACGGACAGGAAGAAGGAGTTGATCAAGTACAAGGGCATTCAGGTGGCGCCAGCCGAGCTCGAGGGTCTCTTGCTCTCACACCCCTTGATCGAGGACGCGGCGGTGATTGGCGTGCCAGGCGAAGGGACAGAAGTCCCTCGTGCCTACGTCGTGGCCGATAAGAACAAGATTTCCGAGGCAGAGATCAAGGAGTTTGTCAAGAGCAAAGTCGCACCGTACAAGCAGCTGCGAGGTGGTGTGGTCTATCTCGACCAGCTTCCCCGAAGCGCAGTCGGTAAGATTCTGCGGAAGGATTTGAGAGAAATGGCGAAGACGGAGTTTCGTGCTAAGCTATAGAGGGCTTTTATACCCTGACGGCCATCTGCTTCGGCGAATACAGGCTGGTCGGACCTCATCCAGCGTGACGGAGGAAAAGTAAGAAGTACTTGTAGATAATTGCGAGCAGAAGTTCAACAAGCCAGGTCCAATGCCACAACGCGACGTTATCATAATCTAGCTTCTCTTTTTCTCGTAATCTCTCCTGAGGTAGTGCTGGTAGGCGTAGAGGAGGCTGAGCAGGCAACGTGGTCACTGCGAAGAAGGCTGCAGGTTTTGCGGGTGGACATGGTGGCGGTGGAAGGGTCGTCAATCCGTGGTGTGATAGACGCTTCTCTCCGCTAGAGCAGGAGGTCAACTTCAAAGCACACAGCCGGACAAACGATTTGTGCCGGTCAATACTGATGGCAGTGGTCGTCTTTTGTGCTTTTACACTGTACACTAGTTCATGCTCCACACATCATCGGCTAAGAAATCCGACGTGCGGTCCACTGCGTCCCCTGAAATGTACAAACATCCATCCGTGCCATCATGTTTTGTAACTTCATGTCGCAGCCGCCACACATAGTGAGCTGGCCTCTCCCCGTGTAAGGTGATCTAATGGCATGGAGCTGTGACACTGAGTATGCAGCGAGTGAGTCTAGACAACAGGAGGCTCTACTTCGTCCCGAACAATGCCAATGCCTTGCACCATATCTTGTGTGCCTCCCACTTCAAGAGCCCAGGTATCTGAGAGACGTGCGGATGGGTCTATACCTAGCCTGTGGGTACATGTCAGCTTGAGTACATGCATAAAGAGACAAGGACTGATTGATATGGAACAAACCTGCATGCTTCATCCGTGGCCTGAAGCATATAGCAAGCTCTCTTGCGGATTGAGCAATCTCCCGCCCCAGCAGGAGTGGCAAAACATGGCAAACTGCAGGCCGGTAACTGTGAATGCTTGCACATCATGATAACCGCGCCCTAGAGCCCCTCAGAACAGGATCGCGGGCTGTCACAGTCATTTAGTACTCCGTCGACTCGCGAAGAAACATCCTCCGTCCTGTCGCAACTCGACTCACCTTGGCATTTCTGCGCCTTCCACCTTCTCCCACTTCCATTAATCACCATTTCTTACGCTCTCTCATCCATCTCTGATCCATCTTTCTTTCATCCTTCTCTCACAAGTTTTCTGCGTCACCCACTCCACAATCTGCCTTTGTCAATTCGTCAATCATCCTATTGTCATTGTCATCATGAGCGGTTGGGATGTTGCGGATGCCCAAGGGGCTTCAGGTAAGTCCCTCATTCCTTCTTCTCACTCTCTTATTCCTCATCGTGGTGCCTACACTCCCTATCCAAGCCCTGGAACACTCGGAAGCAACATGTACAAGTTTCGGAAGAGGATCTTACGAGCAACGAAACCCTGCTACAAGTACCCAGATCTGTGGATGATAGAAGAAGTCCCCTCCTCATGTTCGCATCCTTCTGCCAATTTCAAAGACATTTGCTAATTATGAAAGTCGATTCAGGTTGGAACGATGACGGCGCCGTCGCTATGCCTCCCAGTTTCGACAATGCCTTTGGATCTGCCACCAACGGCGACGGCATGAACGGCGATGACGAACGCAAGATGGGGGCCTGCTTCAATTGTGTAAGTGAATCCTGGACTTAGTATACACTCACTAACATTTCGCAGGGAGAAGAAGGTCATGTGCGTGTACCCATTCCTGTCGCTGACTCCGCTTACCATGTGTTCAGTCCAAGGCTGCCTGCCCTCACCCGCGCCAATTTAAAGGGGAATGTCGCAACTGCGGTCAAGAGGGCCACATGGGTGCCGACTGCCCTTCCCGGGTCATCAAATGTAAGAATTGTCAACAGGAGGGTCACGAAGCATTGAAGTGCACCAACCCAAAATTCGTCGACAACACCCGTGTCGCCGATAAGACCGAGGGCGAGGCTTGGGCCCTACTCAAGGAAGCCAGTGATGACCGAGACATTGTTGACTTCAAGGAGGCTCTCCAAATTCTCTCCAAGGCCGCTCCAGGATACACCTACCCGATGCTCGAGAAGGAGTTTCGGAAGCGTGGTTTCAACATCTACTTGATTGCCATGGTAGGTTGGTGTTCTGAAAGGTCGCAATCAATGTGCTGACCACTCGTGCAGGAGAAGGATCTTGGTGACACTTGGACAAATGTCAACCTGCAGGGCGAAATCGAGAAGAAATATGCCATCAGCTATTTTACTTCCGACAAGCCACAGCGCCCGACTCTTCTCGACAAATGGCCTTCGTCTCCAGAGGACAACCTCGCTCGTCTCGCTGACGCCGGGATTCCCCTCGACCGTGGCGTGGACAAGTGCAACAACTGTGGGAAGATTGGTCACATCACCAAGCGTTGTCCTGAAGAAAGAACCGCGAGCGTCCAGCCCACTGTAACCTGCTACTTGTGTGGTGAGGAGGGTCATCGTGTTCGTGACTGCGGCCAGGAGCGTAAACATGGCGCCCGTGCCTGCAAGATCTGCGAGTCTGAGGAGCATTTGGCCAAGGTACGTCTGTCTCTGGTCACATGGTGTTCGATACTAACATGATGCTGTAGGACTGTCCAAACAAGGAGCAGCGAACCTGCCGCAACTGCGGTGAAGAAGACCATATGGCCAGGGATTGCCCGACTCGGGAGAAGAGAACCTGCCGCAACTGTGGTGATGAAGATCATCTGGCCCGCGACTGCCCTCAGCCGCGAAAGATGACTTGCAACATTTGCAGCGAGGAAGGTCACATGGCTCGTGTAAGTCTTTCATCTCTTGTACGCACATTTCTTTAACATTGCCGGCAGGAATGTCCTAAGAGAGAGGAAGCTGGTCCGCGCCCCCGAACCGACTGGACGAAGGTTACTTGCACCATCTGGTAAGTGGATTCCCAAGCCTACTGGAATCTCATTTTCTAACTCGGCCATAACAGCAACGAGAAAGGTCATGGCCGTGCGCGCTGCCCTCAGAATCAAGCAGCACTGACCGATCGATCGAATGATGGGAAAGCAAACGGTGCAAACAGTGGAGCTGATGTTGGCGCTGGCTGGGACAGTGCTCCGGCGTCGGATTCTGCTGCTGGAGGCTGGGACGGCGCTCAGAATGGTGATTCCGCTTGGGGTGGCGTTCCCAATGCCGCTGGAGGAGCTGCGTGGTAGAAGTGTGACTGATTCAGAGATGCGGACGACGCTTCAGCCTGCATCACCTGAACGAATCGAGGTCCATGCGCCACACAACTCTACGAGAAGATGAACGGATAGTCCAAGGGAAAAAAAGAAGAAAAGAAGAGACTTCAGTACTGCCAATGGGGTTGAGATGCTCTGGACAACTCCTCCAGGCACGAATTGGCGGGGAGAAACGAGTTGAAAACCTTGAGACAAGCATTGAATGACAACGAATGGTCGATGAGAGACATGCCCTGCCAGTACCTTCCCTATTGGCACACGTACTCTTTCAAAGAATTCTTCCCGCAGCTTTCGTGACGTGCTCGATGTTCACCACCAGCCCATATGGCCGACTTGATATGTAAGCTCCTGAAGCTCTCGGGGACAATACGCGCTCTGTTGATGGTCCCAACCCTCGAACCATGCAGTAGCTGATCACGCTCCTCGCCGAAACGGAGACTTTTGACAAGTTTATCAAACGTTGGAAGCCTCGAGTCGTGTGAACTTTTGTCCGTCTCGTCCGTCCACAAGCTCGATAGACCCTTGTGGGTTTGTCAGCCTCGCCGAGTCCGGGCCTATCAAGCCACTACCAAGCCACGGCCCACGGCATACATCGGTGTTTTTGTTCTTCTGCTCCCCCTTCCCCTCCTCTTTCCCAAGCACGCACTCATGCAAGCACGCACGCAATCCACGCCCAGGGGTCGTTTTTGATTTACAATCCCTCCCTTGTGTCATGCTCCGAATGGAGGGGGGAGCATAAGCGGAGTTTGTGCTTGTGGTCTTGGGGGCCGCCCCGAGTTAGAACGTGGTTTCTTTTACCGGGGAAGGGAGCGGGGAGGGGGAGGGGTCTTGAACTTTGGCTTTGGCTTTGACTTTTGACCCTTGCATTGCGTGCAGTATGCATGGCGTGGTGGTTGGCAACTTTGTCAAAGAGGGGGATGGGTTGATTGGGTACTGACCTGCTTACCTTAGTGGTGGGTATATAAGAGGACAAAAGAACGCTCAGGAGAGCGGAGAGAAAGAGAGAGAGGAGAGTCTACAGGCACAGACGTCTTGAAGGGAAGTAAGTCTCTCTGCCTCCCTTCACAGTAGCTATCTGTTTATCCATCTCTCGTGCCGTCCGAGTACCTCAATCAAAAAGCCAGTACATACAAGTCCAACACCTCCCTCCCCGTATCCCCCATCTTCTCTCGTCGAGCTTGATAATACACCAGAACAATGGCATCCAAAATCGCGCTCATCATCGGCGCCGGCCCAAACATCGGCGCCGCCCTGGCCACGGCCTTTGCCGCGAAGGGGTACAAGGTCGCCAGCGCGTCTCGCACGCCGCACGTCTCCAGCGGCACCCTGCACATCCCCGTCGACCTGAGCAAGCCCGAAACGGTGCCGGGGGTTTTTGAGACGGCGAGGAAGGAGTTGGGCGGCGAGGTCGGGGTCGTGGTGTATAATGGTACGTTTTACGCACGTGTGGTTTCTGTTCCATCCCCGCCATCTTTGTGTGTTTTGTATGCTCTTGGGTTTTGTCCTTTTTGTGCTCGAGATTTCGTTGTCGGGTCTGGTGCGTATGAATCAAGTGGCACAGTTTGAGTGGCGGATGGATGAAAGGGAGCTTGCGCCTTGTCAGGAGTTGTTTGTGAAAAAGCACACGGAGAGTGGTCTGGTCGTCAGGCTGGCTCTCCTAGCGAGGGGGGACAGGAGCAGACACTTCATGACCACCGAGAGCGAACTGTGATGTGCTGTCTACCGACCTGGAAAGAGAGTGAGCATGATGGTCTTGTGGTCTGCGTGGCTTGCTTGTTTCCAAGAACCGCGAGCTGGACGCAGTAGGCAGCCTTGCCCTCTCACTTTCTTTTCTTTCTCTCACTCACTCACCTCTCCTCTTCTCTTACACACATACCTCCTTCTCCCCCCCCCCCCCCCTTCTCGATCCTCTCCCCTTAGAATTTGACACTGACTACACCCTCACACGTCCAGCTGCCTTCTTCCGTCCCGACCCCGCGGATCCGCTCTCCCAATACGCGCCAGAGTCGATCCAGGTCTACCACGACTCTCAATCCGTCAACGCCACCTCGGCGCTCGTCTCGCTGCACGAATCCGTCAAGGCATTCCGCAACCTCCCCGCCGGCGGCGATGCGTCCAAGACGTTCATCTTCACGGGCAACATGCTCAACGTCAAGACGTTGAAGAACATGTTGAATTTCGGGCTAGGCAAGACCGTCACGGCGTATGCGATCCGGCATCTGGTTGAGCAAAAGGTCTACGCCGATGAGGGGATCAAGTGAGTACAACCGACCAAAAAAAAGGGATCAAAATTAAACCACCATTCTCCTTCTCAGGTTCTACTACGCCGACGAACGAAACTCTGAAGGCCTCCCGGTCGGGAATGCCGTCTCCGGCGAAGCTGCGGCAGACGAGTACGTCAAGTTGGCCGAACGGGCGGACCAGGGCCCGTGGCTGTACACGTTTGTCAAGGGGGCTGGGTACAAGGACTTTGAGAAGGCGAGTCATTTGTAGGTAAACCAGGGGGCCAACGAAAAGAGAGAGAGAGAGAGGGAGAAAAAAGGATTGGGCTGAACAAGGACCTACCTCTAAGAAGATGCTGGGGCATTGTAGTGTCCAGGAAGAAGTATGTAAGTGGGGCAAGAAAGAGTCGAGTAGACCGAACCTGAATGGATGACCTCGGAGAGTTCAAGATTGGGTATAGCCTGCTGCCAGGCGAGAGAGAGGCCCGCGAAAAAAACAGGGGGAAGCGAGGCAAGGAGAACAAGTACTACGAGCATGAACTTAATGCTGGCCATGTCATATCACGGCAGGAAAACATGAAGAAACTGAACAATAATGGGGGAGTCTACCCGTACTACTACCCTACCTACCACGAGTACGTGTGTACAAGAACGACTTCTTGTCCTCGCATCATCCCCAACACTTGCCCAGCTAGCTACCTCAGCTAGGACCTTCTCAAGAGTCCAATCAATCAACTTTTTGAAGACAAACTCGAGACAAAACCCAAAACACCTCTCTCTCTCTCTCTCTCCTCTCTCCTCTCTTCCCCAACCGCATAGTGTTGATTGAATGACTAGTACTCATTTCATTTCATTCGGGTATCTATCAATCCTATCATGGCCATCACACTACATCATATCATATCATGTCATGTCATATCAAAATCATATCAAATAGCGGAGTAAAAATAAGTTTAAAACTTCGACCATGAAACATCCTGAATATCCTGAACATCCTTGGGGGGGGGGGGGGGGCCAATCGTGACTCGTGACGTGACGCGAATAGAGAGAAAGAAAGAGGGTAAGAGGGTGGAGCATGAGGATAAAGGAGGTGAAGGAGGTAAAGGAGGGGGGGGGGGATATAGCAGAGCAGACCAACGCGGACCATCCAAGCAACCATCCAACAACCACACCATCGCAAAGGGGCCAAAAGGGGTTGGGGGGGGGGGGGGGGCGCCACAGAAACTTCAAACGGAAAGAGAGAGATCATGGATGGACGTGAATGATGAATCTCCCCTTCCGTCCCTTGCCTTCCCTTCCTTTGCCTTGCCTTGCCTTGACTTGTATTTGCCTGCCCTGCCCTGCCCTGCAAAACACACGTAAAGTGAAGTCGGCCTCTAACACACCAGGGGAAAAATCAAAAAATCAAAGGCTCGTCACGGTCGTGTATCTAATCCATCCTCTGATATCTAAAAAAAAAGCGCAAGATGATTGTTGATCAACGGCCAATCAACCCAGAGTCGATCCAATCGAGATCCGAGATCGAAGAGCATAGATGAGGAGCTTTAGGTGTGTTGGCGCGCGTGTGTGTGTGAGAGAGAGAGAGCTGGAGTCAGAATCCTCGTCCACCGTGTGCGCCTGCCACCCCCTTTTTTCTTCGCCATACAAGTATCTCATTCACTCACTCTTGCATGGACTGGAAATGGGAGCCGTCGAGAGAGTCGCCTCGATAGCGTGATATCGGCTGAGTGGGCAGATTCTCGTACGCCTGGGGCATGGACGAGGGACCGTAGAAGGAATCCATCCTCGAGGTGGCGGCGTAGAGAGGACTTATCATGCTGCCTGTGGTGTAGCCCTGATGTTGCTGATGCGGTTGCTGTTGATGATGATGATGATGATGTTGATGTTGCTGCTGATGTTGCTGATGGTGCGTGGTATATGTCGTGGCGTCTGGCATCATTTGTGAGGTTGCGAATCCCGGTTGGAAACTGAGTCCGTGAAGATGAGGCTGAGCTGCCCCAGCCGATGTGGGAGGTTGCATATTGCCTTGTCTTATTGCGATGGGATGTTCCTGCTTGGCCTTACTCTTGCGCTTCTGGACGGCGTTCTTGAACCTCTTCGTCCTTTTGGGAAGATAGTCTTCACAGGCCGGGAAGATGTCGTCGCCCTCTTCGTCAGACGACTGTCCAGGCTCCTGTTTGATGCCTTGGTCAATGGGTCCTGCAAACCCCTGTTTTCCAGATCCAAAGTAAAAACCGTCCTCGCCGTGGTCCGGCGGAGTGAGACCTTCAGACGAGCTGTTGAACCCGTTGCTCTCCTCGCTCGCCTGTTTCTCACCTCGCTTGGCCTTGGTGTTGCCAACCGGTCTCTTTGCAATCTTTTCCATGTGGAATCCTCGGAGGTGTTCCGTCAGATGGTCTCGTCTGGTGAAGCCTTGGCTGCCCTTTCTCTCGCAGTTTTTCTTGGGACAGTCAATGTACTTGATGTCGTGGCGAGACTTGTAGTGTCTGGTGACATCTGCCTTGCGGCTGAAGAACTTTTTGGGACTCCCGTCTTCGCCCAAACAGTCCTCATGTGGACAGAACGTCCGATTATCTGCATTAGCCCTGTGGAGATGTTAGAAGTGTTCAACAGAATGTCAGGGGGCTGACATGGTCCAAAGTTTTACTGTGAGACCGAAACCCAGAGTCCGGCGAGCGAGCCACTTTCAGTGATATGAATGACCCAATACTTACTTGCTGCTGGGGCACACGACTCCGTCCCCTTCTTGTT